TTCATTTAAAATTAAATAGAGAATATCAATAAAGAAACACATTATTAAAATAACCAAATGGAACTTCCGGAGTTGAAATTAAAACTGAAATTAAAAACTCATCTGAGGGGCTCAACAGTGGATGTGAGCTGGCAGAAGAAAAAATCAGCAAACTTGAAGACAGATCATCAGAGATAATCTAACCTGAAGTATAGGACAAAAAAATAAATTAGGGAGCTACACATTTTATAGTGAGAAACTATGTTAAAACAAGCCATTAGTACTCATGGAGTAAAAGCAGCAACCTGCATTCCGTTGAACTGCTCAGACTGTTTGTGGTAAAATGGAATTTCGGTTTTCAAACCCCAACTGATGGCCTTTAATTTTCAGTCGTAGGGGCAGGACCTTAGAGCCTGCTTCCAAGGAAGGCATGTGATGTCTCGTTCTAAGTTTTCATACAGAGTCTAAATGGCATCTCCTGGCTTGGCTGATCTGCTTCACTGTGGTATGAATGGACTTCAATAAAATGCACAAGTCAGAGCATTCTGAGGAATACTCTCTAAAAGCAAACAATTCATTTGAAGCTGTCTGCTCCCTCTTCTAGCAGATTGCTGTTCTTTGCAAGATCCCAATGCCCAGAACAGAGCCTTCCTCTTGGTGAATATTTGTAAATGGATGAGTTGATTGTATGACTATTATTCAAAAACACTTTTTTGGTTAGAATTTATAATTGTGTAGTTTAAATAAGTCCATTAGTTAAAAATCACCATGTCCTTAAGGGGTAGGAAGGGTTAATATATGTCATTGTCATGTTTCTCTTTTAAACATCTATACATAGAATCCCATTTTAATAAAAGACACTGTACATGAAAATATTCTGAAGTAGTGGTCTATGGATTACAAGTTTCTAGAAATAATCATTACATTTAAGTACCAAAAAATTAATTAGACATGCTTTTTTAAAGTTAAATAGAATGGTAGTTTTGCTGCTGTTCTGACTTACAGCTTTAAAAGGGAGAAAATAAAATCTAAATATGGGAACATTGTACATTAGTGAAATGTCCATTAAAGAAAATAACACTTCCTGTTTTCCCATTTGTCACCGAAAGTAACCTAACATCTTTAGAGAAGTTAAGTTGCTGTCATAGCTATTTATTTTGGGGTCAGTTACTTTCCCATTGACTCAGTAGAAGTTGCAACTTGCTTTTGCCCTTGACCAGGAGAAGTTACAAAGGTCTAGACTTTCATGAATCAGAACAGGTCTGGCCAGAATCAGTGTGGTCTCTAAGACGAGAGACTGTGGTTTGGCTCAGTTCCTGACTGGGGAACCTCTGCTTGATCTGGCGGACATGGAAGCAGAGAATCTCTCCTTCCCGGGATGGTACTCTGACCCACCTCATTTCCCCACATGCCATCGGTAAAGCCACCACTACTTGCCATACCCATACATTGGCAGAGGGACACTGAGGCTCACGTAACTGGTAAGTAAACCCTGGGATGAGATCATAAGGAGAGGAAGGGGTTGCTTGCCTCTGAGCCTGACTGCTGTTGTCAGGGATGAGGGCCACTGTCCCTCACCCTGAGCTTCCCCAACTGTGTGCACCACTGGCTAAGGCAAAATTCTCTTTCTAAATTTTAGAGAGAGTTGGTGTTATCTTGGAGGGAGCTGATGTATGCGATTCTTCAAAGATCTTGTCTCCTCTCCTTTTTTACACAGGGTGTTGCATCGGTATTCTTACTGTACACTTAAGGAAACTTGGGTTC